ATAAATGTACCAATTGATCAGTAGGTGTGACATCTATGTTTGATGGCTTAAAATGCGCGCATACATTGAGGCAATAGTTTGAAAAACATTTGGTTTGAATATCTCTTTTTGTTTTTGAGAAAAACAAAAAATAACGCATGGGAATTTATTATAGGGAACCCATAATAAATTCCCGATAAACTCCAATAAACTCCGGGAATATTCCCATGATTCCATTCCCACTCCATAAGTTTCTTATCCCTACTCTTTACCGCAATAATACATGTGAAGACATTTCGTACATCTCTTCAACTGATCCGAGCGTTTGAAACAATTATCACAATATTTGCCTTTGGATTCACTGTGTAATGCATGAATGATAGGCATGTCTTGAGTGATCACATCTCCCGGTGATAACGGTTTCGACAGTTTTGGTGACATTTCTGGCCATAGATTTCATAAACAATTGAAAAACAGGTGTTTTTTATGCAATTCAGAAAACTTACCACAGATTTGATGATTGGATCCAATTGTGTGACGATGTGTTGGAAGCGATGGACTAATGGTATGAATAAGTTGTGACTAAAGTTTGGATCAATTTATGGACTGATCTGTGGATTAATGCGTCAAAAGTGAGATCAAGTGTTGACTCAAAGCAATCATCACTTGCTTTGTGTCCAAAACCTATGGCTTATTATTGGCTATAATTTGAGCGCAAATTTCAAAAATATGGTATTTTAAACTTTATTAATACAGTATATTCCAGTTATAAGAGTAATCATTGGTACGACAAAAATTTGAATATTTTTTATCATTTTAATTTAGAAAATACAATGAATTACAAATATTAAAAGTACAGCAAAATTAATGATTACTAAAATACACGTTAAATACAGTAATTTGTTGCCAGAAAAACAATTCAGTGATTAATAAATTGAAAAATATTTTAATCAAATATCTATTGAACGCATAAATCGCACAAAATTTAACCCAAAATTAATGCCAATAATTAAACCAATAATAAACAAATAAAATCATTAAAAAGTGATTACAAACAATAATTTTGTGGTCAATTTCTCACTTCATTAAAGCGCTGTCTTCAGGAAGTGTCACATCAATTGCTTTCATTAAAATAGCCTTAAATTCATTCAAAACCGATTCGGAAATTACCGGACAAATGGATAATTGCCTAAAGATTTCCATTAATATCATTGTCTTCATCGGATAGTATTCGCCAAAAACTACATCCAAATCAGTCAACAGATTAGCCATTAATTGTGTGTCGAAGACATTCATTGGGAATTGTTTTGATGGAATCAGACGCTCGTAATCGACCCGACGGTCCAAATGGTGGACACATTTGTCGCACTCGCAGACCATTGAATACGATTTGAGTGCCTGTTGTCTGTCCGCACGGTTTCGATACAATGGCACCACATTTATGGTAATCTCTTCGTTGGCCTCTATTGGTCTCATTGCCCGCAATTCCTTCGACAGTCCTATCATTGAGTGATTGGGTAACCATTAAAACGATGATAAAAAACAGATATACGGTTTCCATACCTCTGCTGTTGTAAATGAAGGCACTGTTGGGCTGACAGCTGTGCCGAAGAGTGGTGTATCCCATATACAGTCCGCGACCAATACAACCGATCTTTAGGTGTGATTTGAGCTGAAATGCGGGAACATTTGTCACGAATGCCAACCAATGGACCACTTCTTGAAAGTCGTATTTCACACCCAATTGTATGAATAGATTGCAAATCTCCCACAAATGCTCTCTCTTTTCATTCACATCAAAGACATTGACATTCACTTCGATGTCTCTGAGACTGACTTCCGATCCGTCAAACAATCGGTACTTTTTTGTGGCAAACGTTGGGATGTTTTGCACCGAAAGGTAGAGTCGGAGCAAATACCGGAACCCGGAGTCCAAAAAGGTTTGAATGGATTCATGTCTATAGAGTTTGCACTCATTCTTGTGATACTTCCAGTCATTCTTCTGACACTCAATACTGCAGTAATACATACGAAGACATTTCGAGCACTTCTTCAACTGATCCGATCTCTTCATACAATTATCGCAATATTTGTCTTTGTATTCGTCGTGTATGACATGAATGATAGGCATGTCTTCGGTTATCACATCTCCCGGTGATAACGGTTTCGACAGTTTTGGCGACATTTCTGGCCATAGATTTCACAACAAATGAAAAACACGTGTTTAAAAAATTTTGCAAAACTTACCACAGATTTGTATGAATGAATCCAATTGTGTGATAATATCTACCGTTTTCAGTGAATGATGTACTCAATGGTTGGACTTGTCGTGTAAGTTGTGACTAACGTATGGATCAGTTGATGGACTGGATATCAGTCCAGATATCTGTGGATTAATGCGTGAAAAATGAGATAAAGTATTGAATGTAAACAATGTTCACATGTTTTGTGTTCAAAAATATATGGATTATTATTGGCTATAATTTAAGCGCAAATTTCAAACAAATATCAATTTTGTAATATTTTTAATTGAAATAAATATTTGTGATTATATTTACTTAATTTATAAATTGATTACAAATTAAATGTTAATAATGATTACATGAATAAATTAATAGACAATATTACGATTGAATGAATATATTTTATACCATGACCATTTTATTGCACAAACTATTAAATTTTTAATATGCATTTTTTAATTAATTTTTATTAAAATATTTTACATTAATATTTCTTAAATATAAATAATTAAAAATAAATTTAATTATTAATAGATAAAAAGGGTCCAAAAATTTAGTGCAGTCAACAAATTGTATTGAATATTTAATCTAGATTGAAATATGATAATCTGGAACTTTTTATTATGAAAAAGTTTTTTTAAACAAAAATAATTGAATAATAATAATAATCATAAACTGAATAACAATAAGAAAAACATGATTACATTATATGTTATATAATATATTAGAGCATAAAATCATGTGTTTATCGATTGAATTGTTAATAAAATTGATGGAAAATGGGATTCACTTCTCATCAGAAAAACAAAATATAATCACAAAAAATACATGAGATTTATATCTA